GGCATACAATAATCTCTAGAATTGAATTTCACAATAAAAATATGTGATTCTAATTTAAAATAACAAAGCTAGTGTCATTTCCCAGGTAGATGAGAAAGTTATGTTAAATCTGTTACCACCAGGCGATTTCTAGCCAAAATTAACTTGGGGTTTGTATAAAACGATTTTTTGCTAAAATTAATCGTTTTCGAAATAAACGGGGAAGGCCATCTTGTTACAAAAAGTATACCCGCTCACGTGACTTCCGTCGAGCATAACTCAAAAATGGTCGATTCTATCAAACTTTTTCTTTCTGTAAAAGTGGCATAAAATAATCTCTAGAATCGAATTTCACAATAAAAATATGTGATTCTAATTTAAAATAACAAAGCTAGTGTCATTTTCCAGGTAGATGAGAAAGTTATGTTAAATCTGTTACCACCAGGCGATTTCTAGACAAAATTAACTTGGGGTTTGTATAAGACGATTTTTTGCTAAAATTAATCGTTTTCGAAATAAACGGGAAAGGTCATCTTGTTATAAAAAGTATACCTGCACACGTGAATTCCGTCGAGCTTATCTCAAAAATGGTCGATTCTATCAAACTTTTTCTTTCAGTAAAAGTGGCATAAAATAAGCTCTAGAATCGAATTGCACAATAAAAGTGTGAGATTCTAATTTAAAATAACAAAGTTAGTATCATTTCTCTGCTGGAGAGAAAGTTATATTAAATCTGTTGCTACCAGGCGATTCCTAGCCAAAATTAACTTGGGGTTTGAATAAAACCATTTTTTGCTAAAGTGAATCGTTTTTTAATTAAATGGGTCGACTATAGAAGTTGATACACCCTGCACGAGAAAAATTATGTTTTAGTTTTTAGTTGGGCCCATTAACCAGTCATTTTTTAATGTAGTTTATAATTTTGTATTTAAAGTATTTAAAGCGTCCCGATGGCCCGCTCCCTATAATAATTTCTCAATTCAAACATATTTCCATAAAAAAAAATTAATTAATTAAAATTTGCATTATTTTTCGTAATTATTACAAATAAAATGAAACAAGAACCTGCTAGCCAATAGGGTTTGTTTCTTGCCAAAAAATTTAAATTTTTGTTTAGTGGAATTGTCAGGTTTGTCGTCGGACGGGTTCAAAAGATGGACCAGCCTGAAAGAAAAAAGTTGTGTTTCACCGAAGAAAATACAAAATATCATTATTATTCATAAGAATCAGACAGGCGTCTAAAGTTTTTTTTCACTTTTTGGGTTTTGACCTGGTGTTACATCTCCGTAAGTTAGACACATTCGTGAATGTGATGAGCACGAGCTAAACGAGTCGGGACAGCTCTGGGTTCGAATCCCGTCACAGCCAAGGAAATTTTGGAAAAAAAAGATTTGTAAAGTGCCATCGTCTGCGACACCCAATGAGTATGTGAAGGTTGCTCATTCTTAACCGGAATTAATTAATTTTACTTTTTATATGTACCTTCATTTCGAATATTGGCTTTAGGATGATCAGGCAGTTGAAGCAGATAATTTCAGATGTGAATTTAAACTGTTTACGTCGTTTTTAGAATATTCTAATGAAGAAGAATGCAAACATTGTTCTACAGTCACGTCTCGACAGTCCGATCTCACGTAATACCATTAATTCAATTAATTAAACGATAGCCGAGATCGGTATTGTGAAGGAGAGACGTGATCCGGCCGGACACCCTTCGCTGGCAATGTATTAACAGGGGGATAACACGAGCGGTGGCGACTCGTTCCGCTGATTTATTGGAGGATAACGAAGGCGACCATTACCAACGGAAAATGAGATAAGAACCTTTCTCGGGGAGAATTCAATTCCTGTGCAATTAACCAACAACAAAGAAACGTCATTAAAAAGCACTTCACTTTGTGAAAATGATTGAAGAAAAAGAAAGAAAAAACATTTGCTATATCTCGTAGGATATTATGAGTGATAAATAAAGGCGTAAATTATCCCTTTTCCCTATTTCACCATACCTTAAAATACTTGCCTCAATTTATTTTTTGACATATTTTAGTTTTTACATTGACGATATTGCATCGCATCGAGAGCAATGTAAACGTAGTGTAAAGGGTAATGTAGAAGGCCCATACGTACCAAAAGAAACTATGTAGGCCAACCAATCAATTCAGTGACCGAACCTGCAGTTGGCAGTAGGGCTAACCGTTTTTGATTAATGTGATTAATTTCATTGAATTTGGTGGTCCGATTGACCAAATAACATCTTTCGATTATTTAATCTGTATGTAAAGTATTGATTGTTATAAAAAAGTCAGCGTCATGAGCGGGATTCGAACCTACGACTTTCTCCTAAATACGCCGCTGCTCTACCACTTGAGCTATCGTGACTTCGATCCACTCGGACACTAACTTCCCATCTCAACCCAACCTTTCGAATTTTCCCTCCTTTTTGCCATTTTTCAAGGACAAACTATAAAACCTAGATCTGTTTTCAAGTCACCATTTACTGAAGTCTTAGGCAATTTTCATCTATCATTAAGACGGAGCATATACTAAAATATGATTTGAAAAGTTTATAACGATATCTAATCAGTATCACCAACTGAGGAAAGATTCCAGAGGAAGAAGACAAATTGGTGCAGGACATAAGATCTAGTTATACTAGAACTCTCTAGGGTATCTTTTCCTTTCCAGCCGTACTCTATTCAACTGGAAGATGATTTCAACAATATCAGAATAGAAGATATAAGAAAAAACTAAGCAGTAAAAAAAAACTTCAATATCACAAACTAAATTAGGAAAGCATACAAAACAATGCCTAATTTGATCCCGGTCATAGGACTTGAATCACTTTGCTAAGAGATAGTTAATCAGAGAACATCTAAGATGTAAAAATAGGTTGATAGAAAACAGCAAAACAAATATCACTTAATGAATACTGGGAGATCTGGTGTTTCCTGGCAAGATGTGAAAGTATTGCATCGGAGGGAGCAGAAAGAAACATGTTTTTGACTCGACATTGCAAATTTAATGGACATCTACTAATGACTGGCCTCAAACAAACACTATTACCCAAGAGGTGTTACAATAAATAAATGTTAAAAATTTTCAAACTGTATTACTTATTTTAATTAATTATACTTTTGTCTAAGGTCTTGGTTGAGATGAAAAAGCTAGTGTCTCGAGCGGGATTTGAACCCAAGATCTTCAGCTCAATACGTCGTTGCTGTAATAAGCTGAGCTATCGTTAATTAGATCCATTCCAACATTAACTCCTCATCTTAATCTACAATTTTTCGAATTTTCTCTATTTTGCCATATTTTCTTTATTTTCTATAATATTCATAATGAGTCTCAATAGTTGAAGTTTTGAGTTTCTGATCAACTCCGAGAAGTTGTGTATCGTTTTGGTTTATAATTTACTATTTTTCCCCTTTTTATTTTGTATTAGAGATTTATTTAATTTTGGTTGTATGTAGCCTTAAGATGTGAGCCGGATTTCGAATTTTGATAAATGGTAAAAAGGAGGGAAAATTCGAAATGTTGGGATGAGGTGGGAAGTTAGTGTCCGAGTGGATCGAAGTCACGATAGCACAAGTGGTTAGAGCAACGGCGTATTTAGCCGAAGGTCGTGAGTTCGAATCCCGCTCGTGTCGCTGACTTTTTTATATCAACCATACTTTACATAAAGGTTAATTAATTGAAATGTGATTAATGTTAGAACAAAGACAGTACGTTTATGAAACAATAGCAGAAGTTGGTATGTGAAGCGCAGCGATGAAACAAGAGAGCTATCCTAGAATTGCTAAATAGATACAGCCGATCCGACAGGAAGGTGGTCAGTAAAAATGATCGTTTAGTTGGATTAGTGGGTAGAGAGGAGTTATGAATGCCGTAATTCCTACTTATAAACGACAGGGGAGCCTGGCTTGTCAATAGATTCATCATTCACCATCATTCCATTCACACATCCTTCGAATGCAACAGGCGACTCAAGGAATGTAAAGATTGAAATTGATCATGGATCGATACAACTAGAAAGTATTATTAGTAAAATGACGTCTGCTGTGAATGTGGTGTTCGTTGTATAATATATTAACGGTTTTCTGAAGATGAACAAGAACGATCAGCTAGGATGAGAATTATTGCATCGTCGGAACCAACAAGGCATCAACTATACTGATAGATAAATTTTACCCACCACTCAATTTATTTAGTTTAAAATTAAATCCATTATTTTTTCACATATATTACAGATAATTAGAATCTACCGTTGTCAAAATAAACAGTAAATAATGTTTTTCCTTTATTTCCTTTTTTCCTGATTAATCCCATTTGCACAAAAAGTAACATTATGCTCTTCCACACTGAGATTAAAAATCGATTTCAATAACCTTTTCCTTAGTTCATTTCATTTGATATTATTCTTATTTTTAGACTTTTACAACGGTCCAGTCAGGCATTGGAGTGAGGATGACAGCGTTATGTTCGTAACATGATTAGAGGAAGGATCAGACTATCAATCTGAAGAACCAGTGCGAAGTTAAGACCAGGCCTCTTTCAGACGAGGCGGTTTGGTTGATTCAACTAAGTTGCCCTCTAAACTAGTTTACTGCCGTGTGAAGACTCGGTTTCACACCAGGCAACTTTTGGAATCAACCTCTTTTCCCAACGGGAGGTTAGTACATGTTAGAACCCGAGGAAGTAGAAGCAATGTGCTTGCTCTTCTGCAAAAAGAGGAACAAAAAAGGAGGAAATCCAGTGAAGAAAAAGTGTGGGATTATCCGTTGTTATAAAATTGAGAAACGGGCGCTTCCTCTCAAACACTGTTGTTCTACTTCCCTCCAAGCTTCGCTTCTTTTAATTTTTTCACCATAAATCTCACACCTCATGTCCCATATCACGGGACGCTTTCCATGGTGAACTCATTTGACTCAACGAGGCGACTGGTGTGAAGGACGAATGCCGAGCAATGTCTTTTGAGTTGAGTCAACCAGATGGGATGAGACGTGAGAGGCACTTGTGCCTACTGGCCACCCGCATGGGCACACGAGTTGACTGCGTGTGAAAGGCTTGGGGTGACTCTCATACATTTTGCTACCACGTTACACTCTTTGACACCCGTCCGTTCAACTAGTTGCCTCGTCTGAAAGAGGCACACTCCTTCCATTTTGGGTGCTTCAGAGATACAGGGTTTCATACTAAATGGCCAGGATAGAGTCGACCTAGGTCTCAAAGGAAAGAAACGATGCATTCATCCGTCAACAGGCTCTACGAAACCGCAGCATTACCGGAATGATAAAAGAAATCTGATCAGACAATTGCAGTCCGAAATGTTTCTATTTCCTCTAGGACCGTGGGCCGAAGGCTGAATGAAAATACCCTCAGGACGCGGCAACAGTCGTGCACCACTTCTTACCACATCTAAGAAAGTGGCCAGGCTTCAATTTGCCCCGGACCATGTGAATTGCACATGGGAGGATTGAGGACGTGTTTTCTTTACTGATTCCCTTTACGTTCCCTTTTTTTTACACATGTGATGACAACCTCAAATCTTTAGATAGTAATTTCAGATGAAGACGCTCAGGAGGAAGGTACACCCCATGTGTATGGCTCTTTAGGTGGTATTGCATGATTGGTAATTGAAATTCTGGGGTGGCATTTCCTTTGGCACCAGCATCGAATTGGTTGTTGTGCTAGGAAAATCTGTAACTTCACAGAAGTATTGGCAAGACATAATCGTAGAAAATGTAGTGCAATTTACCCCACCCCCCTAACATCGGTGTGAGTTTCTTGTTAATGCAGGATGAACATCAACACGTACTGTGGGTGATTACCTCAATGAGTTTGGAATTGATTGCCTGGTGTGCTCCAGATTTGATGTCCAGATTTGAACCCAGTCGAACACATTTGAGGCCAACTTAAGCGATGAGTACGATGCCGAAACCTAAGTCCTAAAACCCTAGAAATGTTGGAAATGGCTGTTCTTGATGAGTTGGAAAGAATTCCTCAGAATTTTATCAGAAATCTTTTCCAAGGAATGCAAGTTAAATTGGTCGTGATTCATGCCCGAGGTGGTACTCGGTATTAAATGGGTAAAAAAACATTTTACGTTTTTATTTGTTTTTGAATCTTCTGTTTTATTTTACTTTCTTGTTACTCAATATTTGCTTTTTCGGTTTACGCATTAAACAATTGATCAATTTTTTAGGTCACGTTTGGTACGCAGTGTCTGTCTAATTTCTTTTTTGTTTTCTTAGGATTAATGTGTCCTTCTTCATGTACTTTAGATATTATCTCTGACTGAGAGTCTTTCGGTACGACTAGTAATCAATATCCGGTTTAATCTTCACTGAACAAGATGTCATGCGATATGATGAAATTCCAAATATGTAGTTTCATAATCGGTTGTTTCGCTGTCTATCTTTTGAATCTTTTTTTTCTTTTTTTTCTTTTTTTTCTTATTCGTTCGAAAAATTCAGTTACAATGATATTTTACATTTCGTCTCAAGGCGTCACTATCTCCCAATTCTTCGTTAGACGACTTCCTTGTCCATAGCCGTCGTGCTTACAGCAGACAAAAAGGTCCGGGACAAAAAGATAGCCCACCCAATATTTTTTCTCTTAATCAATTTTAACCATTGATATATTTTTTTTATTAATTTTTTTTATTGATATAATTTTTTTAATTTATTTTGAACTGATTTTCTCCATTAGGAAGTGAAAAAAATACTTTGTAAGAATTAATCAATAATACTTGATTTAGGGTGAGACAAAAAGATAGCACACTTGTTGTTTATTTACAAACAAAACCAAATCCTGCTGAGTAAACAAGGCTAATTCAGTACAGTTTCTGCATTCATGTATATTAGTGCGATGGGACGAGCGAAACCATTAACACCAGCTGAAAAAAAATATCATTCAGCGAATGAAAAATCGAGGATTTTGTATTTCCAGTATTTCAAAAAATACCTGTAGGAGTAGGAAAGTAATTTTAAATTTTTTGAAGTCTCCAGAAATCTATTGGACGAAGAAATCTCCTGCAAGACCACCGGCCTTAACAACACGGCTAAAAAGGGGCAATTTTAAACGTTGCATCCAACTCAACTTTAACGGCCCATCAAATTGCTGCGAGAGCTGGTGTAGTGACGAATGTGAAAAACGTCCAAAGGATCATTCGTGCAGCCCCTCACATCAAAAGAATAAAAATGAAAGGCAGTCCACCTCTAAACACGGCGCATAAAGAAAGAAGAAAGGAGTTTGCCCGTGAACATACGCAATGGAAAGACGAATGGAAGGATGTCCTGTTCACCGATGAAAAAAAATTCAATCTCGACGGTCCCGATGGCTGGGCTCACTATTACCATGACCTACGGAAAGAAGAGAAAGTGTTTTCCAAGAGGCAAAATGGAGGAAGCAGCATGATATGGGGTGGTATTGGCTATGGTTGCAAAACTTTTTTGCTGAAATGCAGACAACACAAGGCCCTGAAGATGATCTCAATAAAAGATCGAAACGTTGGCACGATAAAGAAAATGTTTTTCTGAAACCTACATCACACCCGACCGCATCTCACGATATCNATTATTACTGTTCACTGTGCTATCTTTTTGTCTCACCCCAAATCAAGTATTATTTATTAATTCTTACAAATTATTTTTTTCCAATTCATAATGGAGAAAATCGGTTCAAAATACACTACATACTAATAAAAAAAATTATATTAATGGTTAAAATTGATTAAGAGAAAAATATTGGGTGGGCTATCTTTTTGTCCCGGACCTTATTTAATGCGTTTTTAAAAGGGTTTGTTCTGCGAGTTGCCGAACTCATGTTGAACCGGCACACGGGCACTATTGGGTCTGTCTTCACTAGCGGGTTTTTTGTTTGAGTTATTCAAACGCGTTTCGGCATTACGCCATCTTCAGTGAAAACTTTCACTTTTTTTCACTGAAGATGGCGTAATGCCGAAACGCGTTTGAATAACTCAAACAAAAAACCCGCGAGTGAAGACAGATCCAGTATCCAGTAGTGCCCGTGTGCCGGTTCAACATAATGCGTTTTTTTAACTTCTGAGATTTCAAGCTCGTAGCTTGAATGATTCGATTTAGATGGCGTTGGTTTTTTGATATGAGGAAGTAGTAGAGTTATTTTCTATGGCCCATTCTATATTATTATGGAAAAAATTGTTTTTATTCCAGTTTGTGATATGTCTATACTCTTCATATCTCTTCATTACTATCTCCAGATTGCTAATAGTGATTTGTTCCTTGAATAAAGGAATAATGACGTCTTTTATGTAGAGCATCATTGTGTCATTATCGATTAAATATTTAAAACGCTGTTGACAAAGCGGACAAAAGCAGCAGGTGAATTGCCAAAGGGTGCCTTCAGAGTTCATATTGTCCATTTGGAACGACAAAAGATGAGAATTTTTTACTAGACTCGTCCAGATGAACGTGAAAAAACTCATTCGTTAGGTCTACGGTCGTAAATATTCTTGAGCAGTTTAATTTATCTCTATGTTTCTCTATTAACGGTAAAGGGTTGGTATCTTTTAAAATCTTTTTATTTAGGTGACTAAAATCAACACATAATTGATGCCCTCCTGGTTTCTTTTTCACGATTACTGCCGGACTGGCGTATTCCGTCTGTGAATGTTGATGTATAGAACTATCCTGTAACTATTCTTCTAACATGTCTACTCATCGAGGAGACATTCGAACTGGTACATCATCGGACAAATTTTAATTTTGAAAATTACGTCGCTACCGGGTTGTAGTACCAGTAAATGAAAGTCTTCATTTGGGTTACATAATCGGCGAATCTTGGTAAACCAATATCGTAAATATCGTATAGTTTTATTGAAATGATATTCGGTAAGGGTTTTTTGGAAATTATTTGAGATTACGTAGGAGTATTTTTACATAAAATTATATCACAATCAATAAACTCGTCGTCAACAACACGAAATTGGGGGCGTCGGTGTCCGCAACGGTTTAGGCGTTGACACGGCGCTCATCACTGAATGGTAAAGGTCCCCGGTTCGAATCCAGCGGCCCTGCATTACAAATGGGCTTTTCTTCAAAAATACCGACACTCTGTGGGTTTATATGACTTTTGCTGTTGCAAGATCAATTAAAGACCCATCGGAATGGACAAAGTCTGATATGCCCGACTTAGTAATTTATGGTTAATGAACCCTGAATTAACATGGCAACGATAAAATCAATTTTTAAATATTTCATTTGTGTGAAATTTGTTCCTTCATCTTGATATGCATGTGTAGAGTTGCCCAATACTTACAAATGGGCTTTTTTTTTAAAAACACCGGCACCCCGATTGTTGATATAGCCTGTTGCAAACCCTCGTTTAAAAAAAATCCCCAATAATGATTATCATCGAAAATACTCGTACTTCCCAATTCCAGTGAATGAATTTTTTTTTTGTAACAAATACAAATAATAAAAAAAAGTTTTAATTCTAGCCACCTCTTCCCCACATTACACAAGGCTTACAGACTTGCATGCTTTAGAAGGAATACCATGGATTAGGGAGGAGTTACGATACAGGGCTCAAAAAAAATTTTCTCAAAAAGTCTATACCGAAAACTCCATATATGCTTCAATCGGCACGTATGATTGTCTAAGAACTTGGAAGCACAGGAGAATAAAACATTTTTTATCCTCCTGAATTTTCTCGCTGTTTTGCCTAATTTTGTCTAAAATTCTTATTCATCAGCCTACTCACTTATTTAACTGTCTGGTACTTAATAACTTATAAAATTATTTATCCAATAACTTACTGATTTGTTAATTTATTAAACTGTTAAATTGTCAATTTATTACTAATTTGTTAAAGTAACTTATTTACTTATTTATTTTAAACTAAATATATCACTGTTTATACTACATTAGACCAACTTATTAAATTAATATATATATATAAATTTATTTTCCTAACAGATGTATATTTTATAACTGTAAGTTCTTGGTAAAATTATTAAGTAATTTTCCCAGTTCTGAACAATACTGTCATGATTTTGTTAATGCAGAGGATTTGTTAATGTAAAGGTAAACAGGTAATTCGTGAACATTTTCCCATCAACATCGACAAAAATGTTTTTCAAGCACACAAATAGAGATATGCCAAAGAGGGCGCAAAGGGCCC